TCCACAATAAATCAAAGAATGATGAGGCCTTCCCCCAGCTGACCAGGCCAAACAGCCCACACCCTGCTCCTTCACAGCTGTGGCCAGGATTGTAATCCCACATTTATCTGATGCCTGTGAAATTTTTAACGTGAGTTCCACTGAACCCAAACTGAGAAGGCAAAAAGCTTGGATGGGAAAGATTACATCTTTATTTTTATTTATTTACTTATTATTTTTTGTTTTGTTTTGAGACACGGTTTTGCTCTGTTACTCAGGCTGGAGTGCAGTGGTGTAATCATGGCTTACTACAGTCTCAACCTCCTGGGCTCAAGCAGTTGTCCCATTTCAGCCTGCAGAGTAGCTGGGACCACAAGCACACCACCACACCCGCTAATTTTTTTTTTATTTTTTGTAGAGACAGGGTCTTCCTATGTTGCCTGGCTGGTCTAAAACTCCTGGGCTCCAGTGATCTTCCCACCTCAGCCTCCCAAAGTGCTGAGATTACAGGCATGAGTCACTGTGCCTGGCCAAAATATCTCCATAAGTTCCTAATTGAAAATTTTTATTTCCCTCAATTATCACAGGCAACAAATCAACAATTTTAACAGTACCTTGACTTTGTCACTAGGAAATAGTACAGACATGTGAAAATTACATTAAAGCTATTACAGATTTCTTAATATACTGTCAAGCTCATCACAACTTGGAAATTTTGACAGTATTGGGCTTGCTGCCAGATCTTTTTATTACTATCAGTAATTTTAAAAATGGTTTTTCTAGTTGCATTCAATATAATTGGCTTCCTTTGTAATCCCATGTATTTAATTCTATGTATCCATAAACATTCTGAGGAGGAATCCATGGCCTTCACCAGAGTGCCAAAAGATCCATGGCACAGAAAAAGTTAAAAATCCCTGTGCTGGGCTGTAATTTTCATTCAGCAGGGGCTGAATCTATTTTTGTTCACCCGTGTATCCCCAATATTCAGTGCTTCGAGAAAGCACTAAAAGATACTCACTAAAGGAATAAAGAATTTTTTTCTAGATAAGTGAATAATCATAAATACTAACCTAACCTGTTCTAGCAGGTTAGGCTTAAGCCAACAAGGAATTGAGGAAAATCAATTTAGGTATCTTTGCATCAAGAGTAGCTTTATGTACAAAGTACATATTTTTAAAATCTGGTGTCTACTGTATTTCGGCTTTAATTCAAAATAGTAACAGCATTTATTGAGTCTTACTAAGTGCCAGGTACTATTATTCTAAGTGCTTTAGATGTATTAACTTATTAAATTTAACTCAATTTTCACAGCATCTATATGAAGCAGGTGCCATTATTACTGCTGTTTAACCAATGAGGATGAAGAATACTTAAGTTCACGCAATAATAAGTGGTTTTAAATGTCAAGCCCTCTTACTCCAGACCTGGCACCTGGTCATGATGCTATATACTCAGTACCTCTAGATATGCAAGACGTCAAAACACTAGCTGCACACAATGGCCAACAGGTTCATACTGTTATACTAAACCAATGCTAGGTTCAGCTGAATTACCGTGCTTTTCCACCAAATAATGTTTAATGTATTTTTTTTTTAATCATCTGCCTCAATTATTTTCCCATTACTCCTGAAGTTGGTGAAAGTAGAATCAGCTTCTCCATTTATAGATGGAGAAAACAAAGGCACTAAGAGTAAAATGACTCAGGCACATCAATAAGCCGCTTTGGTCAGGTGATACAGACAAAAATTTAAAAATCCAATTCATGATCTGACTGCCACAAGGGACTCTAAGACATGATGATATCCCTTACCTGTGGGAGACTGCACACAAAGATACTGTAGCAAAGAAGGCTCTTTGGTGCTTTCATTTTCTTTTGAAGGCTTTTCAGCATCTGTATTTCTTGAAGGACTTCCCCACTCAGAAGAAACAGAACAATTTGCTGTTGCCTTTCCTGAAATCTCTTCTGCAGCAGGGAGATGGCCATTCACATGAATGTCTTTGAGGGGTATAGATGCCCTGTTACCCATAGTCTTGGGAGAGGCAAGGTCTGTGGAATCTGAGGGTTTCTAAACACAACCAAACCAGGAAGCAGGAAAGTAAGTCAAAATTCCAGTAGTAAATCTCTCTTTTTTTTTTTTTGAGACGGAGTCTTGCTCTGTTGCCCAAGCTGGAGTGCAGTGGCACGATCCCAGCTCACTGCAACCTCTGCCTCCCGGATTCAAGTGATTCTCCTGCCTCAGCCTCCCAAGTAGCTAGGATTACAGGGGTGTCCCCCATGCCTGGCTATTTTTTGTATTTTTAGTAGAGACAGGGTTTCACTGTGTTAGCCAGGATGGTCTTGACCTCCTGACCTCGTGATCCACCCGCCTCGGCCTCCCAAAGTGTTGGGATTACAGGCATGAGCCACCACGCCTGGCTGGGATTAGTAAATCTTAAAAACAGCTCTCTTAATATTGCTAACACATAAAGGTAGCATACAGCTGCGTGCTACGCTGATTTGTGTATGTCAGCGGTTTCCATTGTATTTGTAGGAATCGTCTGAAAACGTCATGTCATGTCATGTGCATTGATAGTATTCTCAAAGTAGAGAAATGATAGAGATTTTAGCAATGGAAAACTGGCCATGGTGGTTAGACTGTGAGATATATTTCTGAGCTAGTAACACACATAAAGGGTGTTCATACTAGTCTTTTGGGGTCTCATAAGAACTGTGGGCTGGCCCAAGATGTCTTGGTTACCTAAGACATATGCCAGTCTTTCACTTCTGATCTGCAACCCCAGGCTATCTACAAAATGAGAAAGATTCATTCTGGCAAGAGAAAAAAATAGAGAAAGGTTCTTAATTAGTGTAATGATTTCCAGGAAGTGTGCCCAGCCTACCCACTGCAAACCACTGTAATGACAGTGCTCCTGCTTTCTGAGAGTTTTACTGGTCATATCTCATTAACCTCTGAATGGCTACTAAGCAGGAGATGTGGACAGCTCATATTTTTGTTCTTTTCATTTTGAAGTTAGAGAAACAGGATCACTGGGCAGTGAAGAGAACTGACCAAGCATAAGATCTGATAGCCAGACAGCACCCACATTCCTCCCTCTGGAACTCAGCTGCATCCTGGATTAAGATGTTTATTTCAGTGATCCTAATTTGTTTTAAAAAAAGGATGTAAAAAGCTGGAAGGAAATATAGAAACATGTTAACAGTGATGCCTCTATGTGGTGGGATTCTGGGTAACTTTTCTTCTTTATACTTTTTAGCATTTTATAGAAAGTGTGAGTTTTATAAAAATCACCTTTCTTACGCACTATTTGAAGGCAAGATTTTTGGCAGAGCCACTCCAGTGCTTAATGAATTACGCAGGTGACATGAAATAGCCCCATATTCCAGACTCCATCGCTTATTAATATCAGTGTATCTTCATTAGGAAGAAGCTCGGGGCTAACAGGATGTCACCAGACACATCCACCTGCACTCCCTTACCTTGGGCATGACGAGCGACAGTGGGCCGTCTTCATATTCCCTGCTTTGCCTTTTCGTGGCTGGCTCATCCTCCTCCTGAGGTTTCCTTTCCTCACAGAGGCGCTTCTGAGCTGAGGGTGCGGATGACAGCTCTACTGTGGCTGGGGCTGCTGAGTTTCTGTCATCCCCCTCTGACCCTGACCCTGACGCTGGTCCCTCCTGCAGACTTCCATACAGCATGAACAGTGAGGCAGAGGGCACGTACACTAAAGGCTGGCCAGCAAGGAGTGCCGGCTTCAGGCTCTCCACAGCAGAGGCTGCAGAAGCAAGTGAGACGTCCACTTGTCCATTCAGACCGTTCTGCACAGAGAATGCCTGCAGGTCCGCCTGACCAACAGAAAATACCGGGTGGGCTAAAGGATTAACACAATATTCTGGGTCAACAGAGAGGACAGGGAAAGGAGCAACAGGGTCCAAGCCGCTTGATGGAGGCACCACTCTCTTACTGGCAAAGGCTTTTCCCCTGTAATAAAAAGAAACGTAATTAAGTTAGCACATTCTATCAACTCCTGACCCTTTACTTTCCCAAACAGAGCCATGCCAAATCAGGAATGAGATAATACTCCTCAGGCAGATATGAAAGCACACTCGCTGAGCATGTGTTAGCTCATCCCAGAGGCAGACACCCAGGTGTGGCCTGGATAAATGGTTAGGATGGGGTGGGACAGCCAATGTGGGAAGAGCCATTGGAATCTCAGGTGAGAGTGAACATTCCTTCCTCCTTCATCTCTTCCACATCTGATCGTTATCAATTACCAAGCACTTACACCCTTGCCAGGCGTGTACATACTATTATAATTAGCATAATAGTATAACAATTTTATGCAATTATTATAATAATAGCTACTCTTTGGGTGCGGTGGCTCACTTTGGGAGGCAGAGGCGGACGGATCACGAGGTCAGGAGATTGAGACCACAGTGAAACCCCATCTCTAATAAAAATACAAAAAGTAGCCGGGTGCAGTGATGGGTGCCTGTAGTCCCAGCTACTCGGGAGGCTGAGCAGGAGAATAGCGTGAACCCGGGAGGCGGAGCTTGCAGTGAGCCGAGATCAGGCCACTGCACTCCAGCCTGGGCGACAGAGCGAGACTCCGTCTCAAAAAAAAAAAAAAAAAGCTACTCTCATTTCCCCCAGTTTACTAGGGAGGAAGACTGAAGGGCAGCGGTTGATCACCCTGCCTTGGGTGAGCCAGTTCTGAAGTGGGAAGCTGGGCCCATGCCCACATTGTTTGATGGCAAAACCCATGTTCTCAGTGACTGTGAGAGACCCTGGGAGAGTAACAGAGACTGGACTTTGATTTAAAAAAAGATTAATCTCATTTGTCTCATTTCACAAATCCAGTATCAAAGAAATGAAGTGGGCAGTGAGGAAACAAACTTATCTTCTCAATTATTATTTTCTGCCATTCTTGTCCCATTCTGCTCTGTGTTGTTAACAACATTTTAGGCAGCACACAGTCAAAATTAAGTCCCATAAATGTACAAGTTTATAGGCCAGCACGGTGGCTCATGCCTCCTGTGGGGTGCCTAGGAGGATTGCTTGAGCCCAGGAGTTTGAGGCTGCAGTGAGCTACGATCATGCCACTGCATTCCAGCCTGGGTGACCCTGTCTCTAAAATAAGAAAATGAAATAAATAAGATATAAACAATGTTGGGGCCTTTCGTTTAGAAAAATTTCCAAATATTTAAAACCATGTTTATGTTCTTACTATTTTTAGGAATAGAGAAGAATGATCCTTTAAGAAATAGTAAACAGAGGGCCAGGCGTAATGGCTCATGCCTGTAATCCCAGCACTTTGGGAGGCTGAGGCAGGTGGATAACCTGAAGTCAGGAGTTCAAGACCAGCCTGGCTAACATGGCGAAACCCCGTCTCTACTAAAAATACAAAAATTAGCTGGGCGTGGTGGCGCATGCCTGTAATCCCAGCTACTCTGGAGGCTGAGGCACAAGAATCACTTGAACCCAGGAGGCGGAGCAGTGAGTCGAGATCATGCCACTGTACCCCAGCCTGGGCAACAGAGTGAGACTCTGTCTCCAAAAAGAAAATGCAAAAAGTAGGAAAAAAAAGAAAAAAGAAAAAAAACACACACACACCCACAACAACACAAAAAAACAGTAAACAGAGGATGAGGATTTCTTTCCGTCTTTCTGATAGAATCACGAAGACCTGTTTTGCCCATCATCTCACTGCCCACTGTGCTGCTGAGAATAAAATGGAGCACCCTGGGCCACAGAGATGCATCATCTCTCCAATCAGCTGCCTCTGGTTGAGTAATGGGTATTGCTCAGCTCTGTGAAACTGAACATGCCCACCCTGGGTATATCACCCACCATCCCTCCACCCAGCCATCCACCTTCAACTTCTCCATCTCCACCAATGATATCACCATCACCTGACATGCAGACATTCTTTCTAATGCCTGTCTGCTTTAGCGAGCCTTGCCAACTCACTGTCTCACACTGGTTTCCCTTTCTTTCCACCTCCGGTGAGCACAGCTCAGCTCTGCCCCACAGCAGACCAGAACGACTGCAAATGCTCTGTTCTGTGGCCTGCCTTTCTCCACTCCTAATCCCACCTGCGAAAAGTAGCCAGGATGATCTTCATCAGTGAACCTACAGTAGCTCTTTATGGTTTTCCTGATGAATCCAAACTCTTCTCTGGCTTTCAAACTTGATCTAGTTTTTGCCAACTTTTTGCCAACTTGATCTACTTGCCTCCAACACCTAACCTCTTCTGCTGAATGGTTTTTCCTTTTCCTGTCCTATTTGGACAAACCATGACAGCAAAACGAGTCAGGCTTTGGTGTCTTCTACTCCCTGGCCCTGCCTTGTAATCTGCGTCTTCCCATATCTGTCATTAAACACTTTTCTAATTACTCTGTTTAGCGTTTCTTCTGCTTTCTCTGGTGATACATGATTTCTTTCAAAATCGGGCCCCAAATTTAAGTCAGACAGCCTGGGTATATGAATCCCAGCTTTGTCACCTATTAGCAGTGTTACTTTGGGCAAGTTACATAACCTTTTTGCACTTCAGTTTCCGCTCTGTAAAATGAGGGTAATAGCTCTCTGTAAAACGTCAAAGGATTGCTCTTATGATCAGATGAGTCAGTATACACTAAGGCTCCTGGAACGGTACCTGGTAGGTAGTGGCAAAACCAACTATGATAATGATGAAGTGATTCATGGAACTCTGATACATCATTTCTCAGGGTCATGTTAATTATGAATTGTCTCTTTTCAGTGTTGGTCTTTTTATCTGTTTCCTAGAAGCCATCATAGCTTACAGTATCCATTTTTCATACTTTGGTGTCCCTGATGCTAGTTCCTGCACAGTGTAGGGCACAAAGGGAAAACTTACCAATTCCTAACAAATAAACGGCTGACCTAAATTTTTTCTTTTGATAGTTGGCATTGCAATTTAGTCAAAGTTAACACTAGGAGATAGAAAAGAATACACTCTGAGCTTTTATAGACTACTTACTGTGAATTGTCTTCTATTTTCTGTCTGTAGACAGCTGCCAGGCTTCCAATTTCTAAAGAGTAGCCACCTGATCCTGAAAAGGAAGATGAAGGCTTAACAAATATAGCAAGAGACTTATACATACCAACTATATACTGAGAATTATATAGCTGAGAATTCATTATTCTCAGCTCAGAGATTACTCAAAACTGTTATGGTTTTGCTTCAAAGAGAAATTTTCAGAAGCTAACTGTTCATGGTGAATTCAGGTCTCATCAAGAATTCAAAATAAGCGTGGGCAACCCAGGGAGACCCCATCTCTACAAAAAAATAAAAAATTAGCCAGGCATGGTGATGCATGCCTGTGGGCCCAGCTACTTGGGAGGCTGAGGTGGGAGGACTGTTTTGAGTCTGAGAGGTCAAGGCTGCAGTGAGCTGTGATCATGCCACTGTACTCCAGCCTGGGTGACAGGGTGACCTTTCTCTCACAAAGAAAAAAAAAAAAGTATTCAAAACAAGCATTGCTTGGTAAGTCTAACGAGTTTCTGAGATACATCAAACAGGCCAACTATGCCAAACCAATTGGTCTACAAGGTGACTAGGATCAATTTTAGGCAAGGGTTCATGTTCATAGACTGTGATATCAGCATCTCCTTTGCCTCCAATAATTGCTTCACTTTAGCTAAGTAAAAAGTAGACCACTGGAAAAAACACTGAAAGAGTCAGTTTGTTTGGAAACGCCAGCACATGGGTGCTGCACTGGCATGGGCTACAGCTACATGGCAACTGATGGACTCCATAGATTATGCAAGGGCAGATACCTTGTTCTTCTCTGTACGGGCTGCTGGGTTCTGAGTTCACCTTCCTCTGGATCCTCTCAGAAGCCTGAACTGTGTTGAAAGAACCATGGCGAGCCAGCTTCTGTTTTGCACAGACTTGAATCTGGCCATATGTTTCTCTTTTCAATTCTGGTAAGACAGATGCAGAAACATCCACCAGTTCTTCATCTACATAAATGAGAGAATTGGTAGTGTTGTTATACAGCTGTAATTCAGGATAATTTTCGTCTATTTAAGAGATGGCTTTGAACCTATAATTGTAATGGAGCTACTACTCTATAAATCAAAAACTAAGACAATCAAAGGAATTTTATGAGCCTTGTCTCAAACCCCAATTTCTTTCAATGTACTTTTTTTTTTTTTTAAGTTAGTGGATGACTATAAAATGAGATTGAATCCATGTATATTCTAAAATTATCTGAACTGCAACAGAAGTAGAGCAAGATGTTCTTCAACCCGAATTAGAATGAGCCTCACATTTTAGATGCTCTATTTGGGCAGAGAGTATCAAAGGAAAGCCCGACAATGCTCATCCCAAAATGAATATTTTGAGAGTCACTTTCAAGATTAACTGAGATCAGCTTCCTATGCCATAGATCTACAGCAATGAATAAGAGAATCTCTATTTTCTGTTATGCTTTATTATTTCTTTCTTATGCAGTAGGAGGCTCAGTTACTATGTGACCAAAGGAATAAGGTCAGCAGAAACCTCATGGTTGAAATGCTGCAGAACAGTGAGATTACAGAAGGTTAGGCCCTAGAGACACTGTTTGTGTTTAACGGAGTGTATGTGGGGTTAAGATAGAACTTTCTATACAGACTATATAGAACTTTCTATACAGGCAGCTATCCATGTTGTACAGATGGTCATCTCTACCTTATTCATTTGTGCTAATTTTTTTCTAAGCTCAAAGCTTGCACATTTTAGTTAGAGAATTGATTTAATAAACTGAAAGGCTCAGCTAGACTTACATTTTCTAAAACATGCATTTCACATTAATTAAACTTTGAAATGAAAATAACAACAAAAAGTAATCTTTACAGTTTTCTTTTTCTTAGAACAAAAGCCCAATTAGAAAAATAAGAAATTACAAAATCAAAAAGAAAACAGGTCAAGTCAGTAATAGGGGCCACATTTGCCTCCTTCCTGTAACAAAATATTGGACATAATGCATAAAACTGCGGCTCTCAACACATTTGGGCATCAGGACATGTAGGCCAGTGATCTCTATGAGACAGGAATCAAATAGGATGAGTTCTATGATGATTTTAGCTTACTGCCTGGAGAATGTTTCTAGGTTGGGATGTAGGGAGAGGGACCTAGACAGAGACTGGAGGTCCCCCTAAGTTGAGGATAGAGCTGGGAGTCCTGGAAAGTCAAGGCAGCTAGGGTTTGCAGGGCAGAATGCTGGAGAGGAGAGCTATACAGAAAGAGAATGCTGGGGATTTGCAAAGGTCCAAACTGAACATTCAGCGGAGTACTGATGCATGTGAGAAAGATACCCAAGGCCGGGGAAAGAACCATTAGAAAGTACTAGAGGGAACAATGTCTGCAGCTCATAGAGGACTGGGAAAAGTGCCTGTTGCCAATAGCTACAGTAGAAAAACCTCCTAATTCAGGAGGCATTGGTTAGAGTACTAAAAAAGGTGTTGCCCTAATAAGGCGGAAAACGTACTAAAGACTAGAAGCTCATAGAGTTTTACTGAGCCAAACTTAAAAGCAACACCCAAAAGGATCACTGTTTCCATGTAACTTCACCACATCCCAGAACAAAGCTAAGAACATTTTTAGGAATACAGAAATGTCTAGCACCTAATAATGTATAATTATCAGTGTCTGGTACACAACTGAAAATATGACCCACAATGAGGAGAAAAATCAATTGAAATGGACCCAGAAGTGAAGCAGATGATAGGAAATAGACCAGCACACTAAAACATGTATTAGTATTGCATACCATAAATTCAAGCCACTAGAGGAAAGACTGGAAATGTTGTCTTAGAGACATCAAAAATGTAAAAGCTCAAATCAAACTTCTAGAGATAAAAAAATACAATGGTGGGGATGAAAAATACAGTGTATACAATTAATGGCAGATTAGAAAGTGTAGAAATAAATAGAGAACTTAAAAACATAGCAATAGAAAATGTACAAAAATGAAACACTAGAAAAAAGAAATGAACAAAGAATCCGCAAACCATGGGACAACTTTAGGTAACCAAAAGCAAGCATAAGTGGAATCTGTAAAAACAGCAGATGAGGGGACAGGAAAAATATTTGATTAAGTAATGGCTGAAAATTAGCCAAATTTGATGAAAACTTTAAACCCAAAGATCCAAGAAACTCAACAAATCTAAGTACAAGAAACATGAAGAAAAGGACACCAAGTCATACAGCATCAAATCACTTAAAACCAGTCATAGACAGACACTTAAAAGCAACCAGGGAAAAATGACACATTAACATATAAAGAACAGGATGAGGGTTGATTTCTTGCCAGAAACTATGCAGGCTAGAAAACAGTGGAGCAACTTCTTTAAAGAACTAAAGGGCTGAGTGTGTGGGCTCACACCTGTAATCCTAGCACTTTGGGTGGCTGAGGTGGGATGATCGCTTGAGCCCAGGAGTTTGAGGTTGCAGTGAGCCATGATCGTGCCATCACGCCACTGCACTCCAGTTTGGGTGACAGAGTGAGACCTTGTCTCTAAAAAAAATAAAATTAAAAAAAAAAAAGGAACTAAAGGAAAAAAAAAAACTTCAACCTCAAATTCTCTTATTTATTTGATACAGGGGCCTTACTGTATTGTCTAGGCTGGACTTGAACTCCTGGGCTCAAACAATCCTCCCACCTCCTTCCTCCTGAGTAGTGGGGACTACAGGCATGAGCAATGGTGCCTGGCGTCAACCTAGAATTTTTTACCCAGCAAAAACGTTTTTCAAAAGCAAGGGCACAATAAAGACATTCTCAGACATACAACAGCTAGAAGAATTCATCATTGGCAGACTTGCACTAAAAGAAATGTTAAAGTTCATCAAGCAGAAAAAAAATGATATTAGATGGAAACCTACATTTACAAAAAAATGACAAGCACTGGAAATGGTAACAACATGGGTTAGGGTTAGGAAATTTTCTTATTAAAATTTCTTTAAAAGGTAATTAACTGTGGACCAGGCGTGGTAGTTCACACCCCTAATCCCAACACTTTGGGAGGCTGAGGTGGGTGGATCACTTGAGCTCAGGAGTTCGAGACCAGCCTGGGCAACATAGTGAAACCCTGTCTCTACCAAAAAAACAAACAAAAAATCCCCAGTAACACACTATGGGGTTTGTAACATATATAGCAGTAAAATGTTTGACAGCAATAGCACAAAGGCCAGGCAGAGAGGAATGAAAGCAAGTTATTGTAAGATTCTTGTACAATACATGTAGTATACTATCACTTGAAAGTAGACTGTGACAAATTAAAAATGTACACTATAAACCTTAAAGCAACCATTAACACAACAAAGAATTATAGCCAAGAAATCAACAAAGGAGATAAAATGGAAGCATAAAAAATACTTAATAAATCCAAAAGAAAGAAAAAGAGGAAAAATAAGCAAATAGGACAAATAGCAAGATGACAGATTAAAATTCAAGATCAAGAATCATATTAAGTGTAAATGGCCTAAATAACCCAATTGAAAAGCATAAACTGTCAGATTAGATGAAAAAGAATTCAACTATGTATACTGCCACCCAGACACTCACATTAAATACAGACAGAAATTATTTAAATAAAAGGATAATATATATTATGCTAACTAATAAAAAGAAAGCTGAAGTGACTATATCACTATGAGACAAAGTAGATTCCAGAGCAAAGAATTATCTCCGGGAATAGAGGGTAATTTTATAATGATAACAGGGTCAGTTCATCAAGAAGACATAGTGATCCTAAATATTTATGCAGACAGAGTTCATGAAAGAGCCTCAAAATCCATTCCACAAAACTTTACAAATCTGCAACTATAATCAAAGATTTCAATATCCATCTATCAATAATGGCTAGAAAAAGTAAACATAAAATCAGTAAGAATATAAAAGAACTGGACATTTATAGAACATTCTACCAAACAACAACAGAATATATACTCTGTATATTTGTGTATATTTACCAAGATGGACTGTGTCTGTACCACAAAACAAGTCTCAATAAATTTAAAAGATTCAAGTTATACAAAGTATATTCTCTGGTTACATGAAATGAAATTAGAAATCCGTAAGAAAAAGACGTTTGGAAAATCCCAGAATATTTAGAAACTCTATGACACGTGTCTGAATAATTTGTGGGCCAAAGAAGACATCAAAAGGGAAAACAGAAAGTATTTTGAATTGGAAGACAATGAAAACACACATATCGACATTTGTTAGATACAGCTAAAGCAGTACTGAGAGGAAAATTTATAGTACTAAATGCTTATTGGAAGAGAAGAAAGGTCTCAAATTAATTATTTCAGTTTCTACCTTAATAAACTACAATAAGAACAAATTGAACTCAAAGGAGCTATAAAGAGATAATCTGAATAGCTCTATAGCTATTCAAAAAATGTAATCTGTAGTTTAAAACCTTCTCACATAGAAAGTTTTTAACTACAGATAAAAACCAGACCCAAATGGCTTCACTGAAAAATTCTTTATTTATCAATTCTTCACTGATAAATTCTTCCAAACATTTAAGGAAAAAATAATAACAATTCTACACAAACTCTTCCAGAAAACTGAAGAGGACTGACTATTTCCCAACTCCTTTTAAGAGGTATTAGCATGACAGCAAATAGACAAACAGATCAGTGCAGCAGTATGGAGAGTCCAGAAACATTACCATACATATATGTGGTCAATTTATTTTTAATAAAGGCACAAAAGACATTTAGTAGAGAAAGGATAATATTTTTAACAAATGGTCTGGGTACAACTGGATATCAGTATGTAACCTCCCATCCTCTCAGAAAAGCACCCCACTGATCCATAACTCACACCACATGTGTGATCTCGTGTTAGGCGAAGATTTCTCACCTAAAAACTGAAAACATGACCCACTAAAGAAAAACATTAATAAAAATTAATATATTAGTGGAATTCCTGAAGATTAAGATCTTCTGACTTTCAAACGACACTGGTAAGAAAATGAAAAGACAAAGCCACAGATGGAGGGGAAGTATTTGGAAATCATCTACCTGATAAAAGACTTGTATGCAGAATATATATACAACTCTCACAATTCAATAATAAGAAAGCAGACAACCCAATAGCAACAAATGGGCAAAAGATCTGAGCACACCCTTCACTAAGGAAGATAAACAGATGGCAAAACAGATGTTTAACATCATTAATCACTAGAGAAATGCAAATTAAAACCAAAATGAGATACCACTACACACCTATCAGGATGGCTAAAATTAAAAAGACTGACCATATCAAGTTTTGGCAAGATATGGTTGAACTAGAACTCTCATATACTGTTGGTAGTAAAATGTTATAACTGCTTTGGAAAACAGTTTGGAAGTTTCTCAAAAATTTCAAACATCCACCTACTATACGTTGCAGCCTTTCCATTCCTAGGTATTTACGCAAGAGAAATGAAAACATATGCCCATACAAAGACATGTACATAAATAATCACAGGAGCTTTATATATAATAGCCTCTTCAGCAATAAAAATAAATTACTGATACATGCTACAATATGTATAAATCTCAAAATAATTCTGCTGAGTGAAAGGAGCCTGATCAAAAGAGTATAGTTACAGTTGATTCTCATTATTCACAGTAGTTATGTTCTATAAAGTCACTGCAAACACCGAATTAGCAAATACTGACCCATTGCTTCTAGGGGACATAAAGGATTAGGTTCCTGTGAGCCTCTGGTTGCAACATTTTCATTAGCTGATCAATATATGACCTTGTTTATGTGTGTTTTTTTTTAAAGAAATCTGTTTAATATTTGTTGATTTATTAACATTGAACTTGGCCAATAGTACTATAACTCATACCTGATCAAAGCTTATCTAACACATGTATATTCTCCGTAAGGCACAATGCAGCTTTCTTGTGTTAAGAAACACTAGACAGCAATACTTGGGAGCCAAAAAGCACAAAAATGTGAACAAGTGGCACTAAAAAGACTGCAAACAGAATGCTGGCTTATGGTATGAGAGCTGGAACAAGAAGGCAGAGTACTGCCTGATTCATCTGGGAACATGTGCATTGGGAGACCCAAATTCTTTACCAAGCTGTGCATGACCACAACTGACTGTGGAAACACCCTGAGTACTGACTTTGGAGTTACAAGTTAATTTTAGTAAGTAGACAGATTCGCGAATATGAAATCTGTGAATAATGAAGATTGGCTATACATGATTCACTTACAACAAAATTATAGAAAATACAAACAAATCCAAGTGACAGAAAGCAGGTCAGTGGTTGCCTGGGGATGGGAGTGGGGACCAGGAGGGAGGAATTACAAAGGGGGCAGGAGGAGGCTTTTGAAGGTAATGGATATGTTCATTATCTTGATGATTTCACAGGTACATACATATGAAAAACTTATCAAATTGTAACTTTAACTTCCTGCCATTTATTACATATCAATGATATCTCGATAAAGCTGTTAAAAAGAAAACACCATTCATAATACACTGTGCCATGCTGGTAGGAAAGAGGAGGAGGAAGACATTTATAAAATTTGTGAGAAATGGCTAGCCAAGGGATGAAGGAGAATGGCTCAAGGAATCAAAGGAAACTTGATGTTATCAGTAATGAAACTAGGGAATACAGAAAGAGCAGGTTTCTGGAGGGCAGAGGAAATACGTTCAATTTGATTTTCCTGACCTGCCTCCAAAGTCTTTCTCTCATGTCAAATCAGAGAGTTCTCCCCGTTCTGTCCCGTGGTGCAAATACATGAACTTCTCGACTTCCCAACAGCTGCTCATCTTCCAGCTATCTTACTTTCTTTTTCTTTCTTTTTTTTGAGATGGGGTTTCGCTCTTGTTGCCCAGGCTGGAGTGCAATGGCGCGATCTCGGCTCACTGCAACCTCCGCCTCCCGGGTTCAAGCAATTCTCCTGTCTCAGCCTCCTAAGTAGCTGGGATTACAGGTGTGTGCCACCATGCCTGGCTAATTTTTGTATTTTTACTAGAGACGGGGTTTCATCATATTGGTCAGGCTCATTTCGAATTCCTGACCTCAGGTGATCCACCCGCCTTGGCCTCCTGAAGTGCTGGGATTACAGGTGTGAGCCACTGTGCCCAGCCCAGCTATCTAATTTTCTCCAATGGTACGACCACCTTTGAGTCCTTCCTCTCTTTTAATCATTGTCCGAAGACTCTTGGTTAATTCTGTCTATCACATCTAGTCCAAATTTCTTGCCTTAATTTTTGAGGCTTTCCAAAAATGCAGTCCCCAGTGATCACACTGTAACACTGTATCTCATTATTTTTTATCCCATGTTCTCTTCATCCTTCCAAAACCTAACAGCCCATCAGAACTTAATTTGTATCCTCTCTGAATGCCTATAGAGCCAGTACCACCCCATCTAGAGTGTAATTGCTCTCCTAACTTTCAAATGTGTGCTAACTATATGCCTAATTATAGAAGCTCATTAACCAAGAAAAGTGAGTAAGGCACTGTTCTGGATACTATGGGGTAATCAAGGATGAATAAAGATGATGTCTGGTCTCAAATGTGTAGGGCAGGGACGACACCATCGTATCAACCTCATCCAGCACAAACCGCACAATACTCAATTGCAGTCATTCAGATGAGACACTCTGCTCAGGCTATCAGGGAAAACTTCATAGAGGAGTTGACATTTGAGCCAGATCTTGAAGGCTGAGAATATTTTCATGTTAAAAAGAAGAGGGCTTCGCAGGTGAAAAGAACGGGAGAAACCAGAGGCAGAAAGGAGAAAATGGCAAAGTTGTATGCTTCATGCAGGTAGGGACTGTGTCACCCACATCTTCAATCTCTCAGGGCCCTTAGTATAGTCACTGGCACACAGTCCACACTCAGTGTGTATGCACTGGGTTGAATTTGTTATACTTGATTTTAAGTGGTTTCATCTAGATCCTAAGTGAATAATGTGCTACAAGTGAGGTGGAGAGCTATATAGTTATAAGCCTGGGTTAAGTGGCTCACATTTATACCACTAACACCAAAATTGGAAGGGTAATTTAAAAATGACTTTAATGGCTTCTTCCCAGGCAGTACAGCTGTATGTAAAATAGCTGGTGCAGTTGGATCTAGTCCCTGATTGCTCATATATCACCCATGAAATAAGTAGAAGATAATATCCTCTTTGACTCCTGTTTTGTAAAATTATATTTATAACCTTTTAAATAAAAAAAAGTCCATTACATTCATACTATATTTAGATGCACTCTTACCACCTATTAGTTTTGTGATAGTAATTGATGTGATTTTTACTCATAATTTTTACATTATGTAGAATTTCAAAGAGAAACCACGTTTTATGCTGCTAATGTAGCAACAACTGAAGTTCAAAAGAGGTGTCATTTTTAATTCTCAGTCCCAAACTTTCAGGAAAAAGCTTCAGAACAAAATTTAAACAGTTAAAGAGCTGTAAATTAGTAGAGCTATTCCCACGTTATAAACGCTCAGTATTTCTTTTCCTACTGTGTGTGGGCAAACCAGCACGCACAATTTGTAGGCTAATGTTAACCGTTCCAAGAGTGGAGTCACATGTCTATTTTGTATGTGACATGGGAAAAGATCAGTCTCACTGTGTAGTAGATGTGAGACCTGAAAAAGGAACTGAGAATTGGAAATAAAACAGCCTGCTAGCAAAACCACGCCACCTTACCATTTGAGCTGAAGTCTATAGGCCCGATCCACTTGAAGGCTGGTTTACGGCCTCGCTCTTCTGTTACATGCACTTTCTTTATCAGAGCCAAGCTGGTCAGAACATTGGCTATGTCATAGAGGCGTCGTACCTTTGCTTGAAGATATAAAACACGATTATGATCATGCTGCCTGTGACACTATAACAGTTTAGTTTATGTGACAGGTAACTTTTCTCAGCTGCCATATAAACCTCGGGTGGAAAGCAGCAAGCTGGGATGAGGAGACCAGTGGCTCTGTTATAAAATCACCCAGGATTTATGTACCTGCAGTATCTGAAGGCTAAGGGAAGGTCAGTGTGTCCTTACATTTCCACAACTTCACACCTCTTACAAGAGGCACCTGGCGACACACAGGGAGCACTGTGATTGCAAAAACAGCAAGGGAGGGAATGGGCTGTAATTAAAGGCTTAGTGAATGTAATTCTGACATGGCACGTCAAAAGCATGCCCTGAGTTTCTCCCAGCAGGAGACTGTGGTGCCAGCTCCACCAGGCAGCTGATCTGTGAAAATGACAAAGATTCCCCAGAGCTTCCTGCCAGGTTGCACTCCTGGGCACACAGGATGCTCAAGGTCAACAGTACAACTGTGCTAAAGACAGGCAGCTCCTCACCTGAAATTGTAGCATTCCAGCCACCCAGTGAGAAGCGGTTGGATGGGCCTCACCTGAATCTTAAGTGGCTTTGGGAGAAACACTTAAATATGTACAAAGTAGAGGAAATACTTAGTAGGGGTGGTAGCACATGAAACAGGCAGGATAATGACCACAGAGTATTTTCTATTCAAGAAATGGATTTACAGGTAGGAAACCCACTTGACCTCGGTGTTAAGATCAAGCAAAGAAGTTTGAATTATCATCTAGAAATAGTAAGCATTCACCCCAGATGCAGCTTTCTTCTTCCCAATCCTGATTTTATCTAGCCACTTCACCCACAGGGTGACTGTAATTTCAGCTGGAAACAAAAAATAGCTAGAGAATGTTGCAGCTTATGGTTTCCTGGGGCTTACAGGCTACCAGCAGCCCAGGGCATTTGGCTCAGTATCCAAGCCGGACAGAAAAGGAGGATGCACTGGGTGTGATGCTTGGAAACTCTCTCCCTGTCCATGTCCCACCACCCTTACCCTGGGCATTCTTCTGGTTCTTACCTGTAGACAATTTTCATCTCCACCCTTCAGAAGAGTATGCAGGGGGTGGGGAAAAAAGGGGAAAGAAAACTCAGACATTCTGTCTTGGATGCAGCATTACTAAAGAGAAATGCAAAATAATTCACACCCTCCCTAACCGGAGTTCTCAGGATAGTGTTCTGTTTTTTCACTCTACTGAAACCATCAAGAAAAAGGCACTGACAGGACTTTAAGCTGAATTCTAGGAGGTGACTAACTTACCTTTCACAGCACCAAAAACCTTGATGAATACAGGAAAGGAGTACGTATGTCAAAAACAATATATATATTTTTAATCTTGGAAGGAGAAAATATCAACACATGAAATCCCACCCTTTTTGTACTAGTAAGTTGATGTAGGTGAAGATTCTTACTTTTAAATTTACTATGGTCCGGGGCATCTTGGCTTTCTTCTATCAGTATTTTGGCAGCCACATCCAGAGTGACAATCTTGGTTTTGGAGACGAGGAACAGCATGACAAACTTCTGGCTCATAATTCTCAGAGACTTGTCTTTTCTACTGTTTGCAGATGCTACACAAGGAATGAAACAAAAGCATCAAAGCACATGATTTTCTACAAGAAAGACTATACTTGCAGCTTCCCATAATGATCTAGCCCTATCAGCAGATGGAACGATCACCCTTGTCACAGGCAGAAGCTTACTGGACACACATTGCAGAAGTCAGCTCAGGAAGAAATGAGGCCGATTTTCTTGTGGCTCGTAAAATTACTCTACAGTAGGCATAAACTCTGAGATGCATATTTTAAACCACTCAATGCTTTATACTTATACTTCCTACAATAGAATCCATACGGTAGTTTTACCGAGGCAACTTCTTGGAAAGATTAACGTAGAATGATAAAAAGATAGGGTAGGAATGTAGAATTGTTTTTAGAACATCAAGTCTCCTCTCAAAGGCAAATTGCTACTCCATTTTTATTTCTCTGTGCCTGCAATATCTAGACTATACCCTAAACATAGTAGATGCCCGCCTCTTCCACTTCTTTTCAGAAATATGTGAATAAATGAACTATATAGAAACAGAAGACAGATTAGATATGTGCCTCTGTGGATGGCAGGCAAACCATCCCCGACAGATGGCTGTCTTCTCTGGTTATTAAGATAAGTACTGGCTCATGGGGTGGAACTAAAAGGCATGAGGCAGTGAATCTAATGAAAACCAGGCCCACCTTTCTTTCCATTTCTTATATTTGCAAGTGAGACGTGATACTTGTACTTTGTCATCTTAACAACAGGGATGAAGATCAATGGCTAAAACAAGAATAGGCTAAATATGAATTGGGAAGGAAGAATGCCGCCGATGTAAATAAAAATTCTGCACCAAATGAAAGCAGACGTTGTCTGTCTTTCTTATCAACATTTTCTGCGAATGGAGTTCTTTTCTAAGTAGTCTAAGTCTACTTCAGTATATAATTAGATAAAACTCTTTGAAAATATAACTTTTTCAATGTAAATCTTACAGTTGCACAAAAAGAAGCAGCATGGGGCTGCCAGTCTAAAAATGGGAGTACTGCTAGCGATCTATTCTCCCAACAGGCCAAACTCGAGTGAACTGCCATCAGCCAGGTTTGTTTAAATGAGGTCGAGTGGACAGTCCAGTTGGGGAGTCATCTGCTTTCCTTTCTCCAGTGAAGAGAATAAGAGGACATCTCCCTCCAGGTTTGTCAACCTGGCACTTCCCATCTGAGCAGTGAATCTCTGCAGAAAAGACCATCACTCGCTCTTTCTCTGCCATTACTCATGAAGTTACAATGGACTCACAAGAGGGATAGTCGGGTTCGGAGAAATCCAATAACTGTTGTTCCTGGGAATCTGGATCGCCATCTTTTCTACGTTCTCCAAATTTATAATCCATCAGGTCCAGCTCTTTCTGTTGGAGGTAGGCCATCTGCTCTTCATATTTCTGCTCCTCTCCTAGTCTCTGGAGGTTCCTCAGGGTTTTTGGCAGGCTGTGCCGTCCATGCCAGCCATACTGATTCTTAGCCACCCGGCTGACCAGATGCAGCGATTCCAGCACATTTACAATGTCATAGATGCGTCTCCTTTCCACACCTGTTTAAAAACAGAGGCCGATGGACATCATGCAGACAAACATTTTTGAAGAGAAGTTTCTTGAGGGCCTGGACTATGTCTGTGAACTACTTTGTCTGATCCCCAATATAATGCCCACTGCCTGGATGCTCAAGAAATTCAACCTGTAAGGATGCAACCAATAGTAATTATTTTTCTTTTTCCTTCTTGAGATCCAACCCTTAAACAGATCTAAGATAAAACATCTATCTAGAGATGGTGACATTTCCATCTGTCTGACATAAACAGTACAGCAACTGCTCTTTAGACCTGTCAGGCAAACCACACAAACATTTCAGCATGCTGAAATTGGTGGTCTGAGCAATACACGTAACAGTGTGCCTAATGGACACTTGATGAATGGATGGTTGACTGTGACTTGTACTCCTAATTTTGCAGACTATAAAATCAACTGTGTCCAATAACTGACACTTCCCCATTAGACAATACTTTCTATCCTTTCATGAAGTTCCAATGATATAAAAATATTACCTTGATAACGCTCTCAATGGACCAGTAAGGAAAATGGATGCAAATATTATGTTTTCTATTTTGAACTAGAAATGCAGGTGTCAAGGGCTTGAATACCCTTCTCATATTGCTGAAGGAAGCCAGAGCTGGGGTTGGAACAACATGGGAGTCTCCTTTTGTTCATCATGGCTATTGACAATTCTCTGTGTTCTCATTCACCATAACCTGGCAAACAGCCCAAAAGTGAAGCACAGAGACTCCAGTACAAGCTGACCACGAGGCTCGGCAGCTCACTACTCACTTTCCCAACACTCCCAAGGCAGCTAGGATTATAAGCTGTCCATTACACCTAGCAAAAATACTTACAGTGGTTAAGGTGTGGGGGCTCTGGGGTCAGACTGCCTACATTTGAATCCCTGATAAATCCCTTAGTAGCTGAGTGATCCTGGGAAGTTACTTAACCTTTTTGTGTTTTTGTATTTATCTTATATAATAATGAGGATGAAATCTAACTGTAACTGTAGAGTCCCCAGTAGGTGTTAATTTTAAATAAATACTTTTGTCATTACTTTTGGCATGACATCGGTTATACCTAAAATCCCTGCTAGCATGAGAGGTCATAGTAGAAACAGATTTTTAAAATCTCATGTCTGTGATTCATTCTGTTATCTAACAGGCCCTTGGGCCTATAGCAAAAGCCTCCAGGCATCTTGCAGAAAACCAGCCCAGCTACAAAGATGCCTTCTTTCATTTGCCAGGAGTTGTTATATAATCAGGGCAGACTCTGAATGTAGCTGTTGGCCCTTCAAAAATTTAACATGAGAAATATACCAAATTACAATGAGAACTCCAGAGCTGAGAGGAAGTTCTATCACATGCATGAAGAAGCATTTCACAGTCAATCAGAACATTTCAGCTCATGACCCTGAAAGGCTTGTTACCCTCACAAGCTCAGGCTTCGGTGCCAGATGCCTGCTGGAAGGTGCTGGAAGGTGCTGGCAGGAGCAGGCAGCAGCCCCTTGTCCAGAACTGCCTGCTTCTTTATTCCAGTCTGTTTTCATGTATTAACACATCTTGTTTACAGCATAACATTATATAAACCTTCCCATTATAAATGTCATGTGACCGCAACTGACACCCCAGGGCCAGCCATATGCCTGGCTGTTTTGTTAGTTGATATCTGACGACAAGCTGTTAAGTCTCCATCTAGTGGCTAGACATCCCAAGAAGGGAAAATAAAAGAAGTTTCTGACCATCCAGATGATTCTCAGGATGCATAGTGGCTGCTTAGTAGGTGCTTTTGGTGAAAACCAACATGACAGCTGCCTGTCTGCACAATCTCTTACCTCTTTCATCTGAACTGAGCTTAACCATCCACTGGCTGGTGCACTAAAAAGTTCCATTTCACAGGTCTCAAGACCCGTAGATTACTCTGGGGGCTTGCTCTGTCAGAACGGTTTTCCCTGCATTCAGTCTTCTTTTTCTTTTGTATTGAAGTCATTCTATTAACCCCAATCATGGCATTAGTTATATGGTCAAGGATTTACTAATTTTTGCTATGTTTCCCTTAGTTGCTGGTGGGACTTACTAAGAATTCTCAGTCCAGAAAAATAGTTTCCTAGGCTGTGCTATTAAGTCACTCCCAGTTCTCTAAACTGTTACCCATGATATCCAGTGTCAAATCTACATAGCACTGGAATCTGGAAAACAATGCAATTTGAATGCTCTGCACATCCTCAGTAAAATACAGTCTTGCAGTCTGTAACCTGGGATGTAGCACAGAGTTCAGACTCAACCCCAAAAGATAGTCGGCAGTGAAATAGCTTCCAGCAAGGGACCCCATTTTATGATGTCACATGAAAAGATGGCATGCTTGTTTAGCAGGTCTGGGTGATCAGGAGGCACTGGGAAGCTGTTGTAAAAATCTCTAGAGTTCTGCTCCAGGCAGCCATAACATGGGGTGTGCACAACCATCTGCAGTCATACGAAAGTAGGAGTCCACGTTTCTGTCCTCTCTGGGATGCAACACAGCCCTCAAACATCTAATCCTTTGTCTTCTGCAGGGACACCAGTGCAAGACTCCTTAATGGAAGTTGGGTACATGGAGGAAGTAGGCTTCATGAACCCCAATGAGAAGGGTATCAGACAATCTGTCATTTTACCTTCATTACTGTAAGACTAGTTTCTAGGACCCTGGACCCAAAAGCCCTCAACTGGCTCTTCACCATGCCTACTGGAAGATGCTGGCAGGAGCAGTCAATAGTCCCTTGCCCAAAACTGCCTGCTTCTTTATTCCAGTCTGTTTTCATATGTTAACACATCTTGTTGAGAGAGTATAACATTCCATACACCCTCCCATTAGAAATGCCATGTGAATGCAACTGATACACCCCAGGGCCAGCAAGGGACCCCATTTTTTGATGCTCAGTTGGCTCACTTTCCCTTTTTTGATTAATTGCCCCCAATCCTAGAATACTATATTACACTTCTGGGCTCCAAATCGGCCCCCAAACCATAGCACTCTACTTCCTCTTCCTATAGAGATGGACAAGGCAGCTAAGGTATCGACATTCTAGGAAGAGCTGAGTAGAAACTGTTCCACATAATAAGAGCTCTCCATACCAGCCATTGACTTTGGCATGTTACTGACATTATCCCTAACTTTGCTATGTCTCTGCAAGGTAGGTGCTGCAGTCTCTAAGTTATAGATCAAAAAAAAAAAAAAAAAAAAAAAGGTTAATTCACTTCTTAAAGCTCTTACAGCCTGTAAATTAGAAAGCTGGGCTTCAAATCTAGCCCCATGTGACCCAAAGCCCAGCCCATGGTCTTCTTATCATAACCCACTATCTCTTCTTCTCAGTTTCCAACAACCAAATCTATTTAGCTTTCAGCTTGAATAATTCAAGTTGACGTTTCTCTACTTGGGCACATTTCTCTAGGATATGGAGGAAATAGAACTAAGAAACAAACTAAAAATTATAATCTATCATTTATTTAGCTGATTTCTTCCGAACTTTTTCTTTTTTTGTGTGTATGTAAAACCTTCCTATTTTTAAGGGGACACCCTGACACCTTCAAGTCATTGTGATTTCTGCTTACTTAATGATTGTCAACAACACATTCATTCTGGAACTAACTGCAATGTCCACTAGGGGTCTCTATTCTGAAGCAGGTGTATACATATTTCCAGCACATACACCCATCTCACATCATACACTCATGCACGTGAACACACGGATTCTTCTTTGTTATAAGATTTAGTTGTTTGAGTTATGTCCAAACGACCTTTTCCTAGTTTGACCCACTTGCTGTGCCAATCATCGTATAGGGCTTTAAACATAATGCTCTTGCTCTCAAGTCTTGCTTTACAAAGTTGAAATCACACCAGTTCTGAACTCCTGGAAGCATTATTAAAAATAAAAAGCAGGCTATTTCTAAATAGTTTTGCATCCGTCTGAAGTAGGATGAATTTAAAATATGAGATACTAATTTGTAATGAAACTCTATTATAAAAATATTACTCATTATAAAAATATATTTTAAGGTTAAAAGAGACTGCATTCTCATTTGGTCCTGGAGGCTCCCTGAAATTCTGTGTATAATGAAAACAAATTTGACAATGACAAAGGAAGCTCTGCCTATTCCTCTGTCTTCACCCAATTGAGGGGCCCACACTACCTCAACCTTCAGCCTGCCCAAGGAAACCAGTTTCCCACTGTAACTGGAGACAGGCCTCCAGGTAATCTGATGATACATACCAAGACTGACAGCAACTTCATCTAGGGAGATGGTAGTTTTCTCAGTTGACAAGGGATAACTTGGATAGCGAGCTAGAAACTTCTGGCACAGGAGTCCTAAACTTTTCTGTTTTCTGCTTGGCCTTTGCTTTTCAAATTCGTCCACAGCACTGTCCCCAACAACATCAAGCTACAGAGGGCAGATAGAAGGGAGGGGGAAGATGTCACAGTTAACATCCTAATGGAGAAACGGCAATGGCCAGTACTGGCAAACTGGGGGGACATCTCAATCCACACCATCCTAGATTCTGGTTAAAATACATTTCCTAATCTAATTCCCTGAATGTTTTATCTATTGTCTTCTTTGGACTGATTTTTTTTTTCTCCTTTATAATTTGAGGCTGAGTCTATTAGTGAAAAGTTTGACAAATGAAAAATGCGAGTCATTTACAGGTTGCTACGGTCTAGCTACTAGTGCGCTCGCTGGGCCTGTGGAATCAGCATCACCAAGAGCTTATGAGATGTAGAAGCTCAGGCATCAGCTATATCAGAATCTGCCTTTTCATAAGATTCTAGGTGATTTTTATTTGACGTGGAAGTTTCAGATGCACTAGTCTGCATTCTGTCACCAAACTGCTTTAGATTTTACAATTGACCAAAGGTTGATGAAAGTGAATGAAGGCAGTCCAATCATATTCTTCCTTATCCTTTTATTTGTAAATACATTAAACTATCATCCTGTCTCCTTAACCCACATTTGAAAGGGGCTCCATTCAAGCCCCAAGAAAGTAAAAGGCTTTTCGACAAACAGATTCAAGAGAAAAGTCATATAATCATTTCTATAGATTCAGAAAAAACATTTGATAAATTTAACAGTCATTCATGATTTTCAAAAACACCTTTAAAAAACTAGGAATAACACACCGGGGCCTGTCGTGGGGTGGGGGGAGGGGGGAGGGATAGCATTAGGAGATACACCTAATGTAAATGACAAGTTAATGGGTGCAGCACACTAACGTGGCACATGTATACATATGTAACAAACCTGCACGCTGTGCACATGTACCCTAGAACTTAAAGTATAATAATAACAATAATAAAAAAACTAGGAATAACAGAGAACTTCTTCAATGAAGGGTATTCATGAAAACATCTATTTGTAAAACCTTGGACGTGTTCCCTTAAAGTCAGGAAATAATACGGATGCCCATTATCACTTTCTCTTCTATATCATATTGAAGACCCTAGTCAATGCATGAGGACAACAAAAAGAAACTGAGGCACAGGGACTGGAAAGGAATCAGCTACTTTCCTTCTGCAGAATATGCCACTATTCACACAAAAACTCAAAAGAATTTCAGACAAATCATTAAAAATAGTAAGATAATTTAGCAGGGTAGTTGAATACAAGATACTATGTTTTTAAAAATCAGCTGCATTCCTATACAACAGTAACAGCAAATACATTGAAAAGACGTCATTTACGATAGCAACAAAAATGATAAGGATTTTAGAAATAAATCTAACAAAAATCTATTTGTATAAAATCCTAAAACTTAGATTTTAAAGAATACTTAAAATTTAGTGAAATATATTGTCTTCATAGATAAGAAAACTCAGTATCTTAAGGAGGTTAATTCTTAATCTCTAGATTAAATGCAATCTCAATAAAATCCAATCTGAAATACACATGGAAGAACAGCCCAGAGTAGCCCACAGACTCTGAAGAAAAATAAGCTGAGGGTCCTGTTTTACCTGATTATCAGTGCTTATTACAATAGGGTATTAGGGCAGGGATGGACAATGGAACAGGAAGAGTCCAGAAACAGACACACATGTAAATGGAATTTTGATATGAAAGCAGTTGCACTGCGAGCTGAGGGGAAGAGAAAGATCTCCTGAATAAATGGTGCAGGGACAACTGATGATACGTATAGAAAAACAAAGTTGTATTCTTGACTCACACCATACACAAAAAGCAATTCCAAATGGATCAAGGATTTCAACATGTAAAGCAAATTTTAAATGAAGAAAATGAAGGAGAATATTTTTCTAACCTTGGAATAGGGAAGAGCTTCTTCAGACACAAAAAACATTACCCTTAAAAGGAAAAAATGAACTATATTAAACTTAAGAACTTTTGTCCATCAAGAAATAACATAAAGGGAAAAGACAATTACCGAACTGAAAGAACAGATACATAACACATATAATATAGGTTTAGTATCATTATATAATCAACTCCTACAAATCCATACAACAACAACCAAAAAAAAAAAAAAACAATTAAAATTGGCCAAGAACACAAACAGGCATTTCACAGAGGAGCAAAAAACATGATGGCCAGTAAACATGTGGAAAGAAGCTTAATCTCATGAGTAATCAAAGAAAAGCCAATGAATATCACAAAAAGATATACATTGTATAATCATGAGATTAGCAGAAATTACTAAATTAGACAATTTCAAGTGTCAGAGAGGATATGGATGACTAAAACTTTATTTATTTCCAGGGGGAGGCAAATAGTACTTTGGGAAGCAATTTGGCATTATCTTGTGAACATCTGCATATCTAATGACCTAGCACCTCCACCAGTAGGTATGTACCCAAAACAGTAGTTCTCAAACATTTTGCTCACAGGACCCCTTTATGTTCTTAAAAATTACTGAGGACTCCACAGGGCTTTTTGTTTATGTAGGTTATCTATTGATAGTTACCATGTTAGAAATTAAAATTGAGGCATGAGGCAGTTAAAATGTTTTGTGAGAAAGGGGTATTTTAAATGTTATTTTTCAAATCTCTTTAGTTTCTGGATTAATAGAAGAGAACTGATTCTTGTGTTTGCCTTTTGTAGTCAGTCTGTTGCAATATCCACATCATGTACTTCCTGGAAGACTCCAGTGTATACCTGGGAGAGAATGAGAGTTCAAATGGCAAAGGTCTTTGTATAATTACGAAAAGAGTTTTGACCTCCTCACTCTCTGAAAACTGTCTGTGGACACTGAGGTCCCCAGATGACCCTTTGAGAACCACTATCCAAGGGAAACTGTTGTGTATGTACACCAGGAGACATAAACAAGAACGAATATCATAGCATAGTCTGTATTAGCCCTAAACTGCAAACAGGAGAATGAATAAATTGTGGTGTAGTCATGCAGTGGATTATCATACAGCAATGAAAGAACTACAGCTACATGCAAAAACTTAAGGATGTATGTTAATTGACAAAAGCAAGTCCCCTAAGACTATACATACAAATTCAGAAGAGTGGTTACTCTGCTGGGGAGAGAGATGTAAATTAATTACAGTGTACCCATTTTTGGGCTGAGAGGTAGATTCATGGTGTTAAAGGTACTGCAAAGGATAAGTGTATTTTAGATGATCAAATAGTCTATCAAAAGGTAATAAAGACTAGTTTAAAAAAGATATTAAAAGTCTGTTTTGGACTCAGGAAGGGGAACATCACACACCGGGGCCTATCATGGGGAGGGGGGAGGGGGGAGGGATTGCATTGGGAGTTATACCTGATGTAAATGACGAGTTGATGGGTGCAGCACACCAACATGGCACAAGTATACATATGTAACAAACCTGCACATTATGCACATGTACCCTACAACTTAAAGTATAATAATAATAAATAAATTAAAAAAATAAAAATAAAAAAGTCTGTTTTAACATTGAGTACCCCGAGACAGAAAGAAGGGAACAATAGACACCAGGGCCTATTTGAGGGTAGAAGGTGAGAGGAGGGTGAGGATTGAAAAACTACCTATTGGATATTATGATGATTACCTGGGTGACCAAATTATCTGTACACCAAACACTCGCAAAGTGCAATTTACCCATGTAACAAACCTGCACATGTACCCAATGAACTTAAAATAAAAGTTAGAAAAAGGAAAAAAAAAAAAAAAGACTTAAAACACTTGACTTTGATCTAATAAATCAGACATTCAAAGCATCAGCATAATAAGTTTTCTGGATACAAGATCAATACACATACACACACACAAATCAATTGTATTTGTATATACTAGAAACAAACTATTGGTAATTGAAACTTAAAAAAAAAAATACAATTTGCAATGGCATCAAAAAATTTGGAAACGTAGAGAGAAACCTGACAAAAGATGTATAACACCTCTATACCAAAAATTGTAAAACACTGCTGAAAGATATTAAAGCCCTAAATTTTAAAAGAAAGTCAGTTTTAAATCCGCCAAAATTTTAGGCATTTACTTCCTACAGGTGGTGAACATTTCTAGTCACTGATCAGCTAAAATCTCTTTATAAAGCCTGGGTAGAAACCAAAATTTTAATTGTTTTAGGGGCGTGTTTGGTAGAACAACTAGTTCTACCAAAGTAAGAGATCAACAATGTTACCTTGTGAAAGAGGTCACTAACAATTCCCACTGGCTGATTTTCACTTTGCTATATTTTTGTCAAAAAAAAATTACAAAAAAATCTAATACTTATATGCCTTTGACAACAAAAGGCATATTTAATCTTATTTAGTTTTTAGAACCCCAATAAAACCAGGACAGGTACCACGACCCTCATTTTACAGGCGAGTAAACTGAGATGCAGAGATCCCGAGTGACATCCCCCACTCACCCAGCTAGTGATTTGAACCCAAGGCCTTAGAAACCAGCTCCTTGTGTGTTGCACATCAAATATTAAACAGGAAGCCAAAGAACAGCCCAGACTTAAAAAAAGGAATTGTGAAATTCCTCTGGCTTCAAGCACGTAGGAACTACTGTGTGATTTGTATTTAGTTACGTGAAAGAATCTCTTACTACCAGCACTAATCTACCACTGCAATATATAGAACAGATTAAATTCATTTTGTTCTATGAATTTCAAGTTGTAATTCAAGACATCTTTTTTCTCTCTTCCCAATTACTTCATTTTGGCAATTTTTTAGCTTGAAAAATCCGCCAAAAAGAGAAAAATGGCTAAGAATACTGAAATCTGCAGAACTTTTCTTAGAAAGTCTAGGAAAAAGCTTGATGGGAAGTGAAAATAATTGACTTTTTTTTTTTTAAACAAAGTATAGACATGCTGCTTATTCCACAGCACTGGTTCCCCACAGAACAGGTGACTTAAAGATGGCTTAACGTCAATAGATCCCCAAACTAACTGAACATATATAATAATGGAATTTCCTAAATAAAAACTATTTACATTAATATTATCCCTAAAATCTGGGCAAAATTAAAATTCACAGTAGCATTTAAATAATCTAAATTCCTTCATTAAATAAAAATGATTAAATATCATTTATCATTTTAAAATGAGCCCTCGTCCAGGGACTATCATACAGAAAAGAAAGCATTCATTATGAAAAATAAGATAGAATGAGAATTCTGCTATAAATCAAAAGCTATTCAGTTTGCCACTGCTTTTGGCTTAATAGGAGCTGAAAAGTTGAGAGTTCTATGACTTTTTAATAATCAAGTAAAATTGTTTAAGTTCTATAAAATTCCTGAGAAGCACAGTCTGTTTACCTGTAGAGAATCTGTAAATGCATCGTCCTTGTTTTCAATGGGTCGGAATAGTCCCTTTTTCTTCTCCCGGTCCCTTATATCTGGGCTGGCAGCACTAATGAGCATCTTCAGGTTAGCTGTAGGTGTCCATGGTTCCACTTGCTGTCTGTCAACAAGCTTCACTGGAGTAATGGGATTTCTTTCTGGAGTAAACTTTTTTTGCTTTGATAAATCAATTGGTTCATTTTTTATTGGAGTCTTTGGGGCCATCCTTGAGCGATCAACAAATATATTTTCCTATTTTAAAAAAGAGACTTTTAGCAAGAATGAGAAAGGGCAGGTATCAGCTAAGAGTACACTTTGTTCCCACCATTCACTAAGACTTGAAAATACAAATAGGACCGTATGTTTAGGGCTGAAAAGTATTAGGATAGGACTAACAAAAAGTAGCAGACGTCATAGGAATGGAAGAGTGGCTCCAGTGAGAAGTAGATTATAATCTGCTACTCCTTTTACACCTATCTTTCATGGTATCTCTGTAAGAGAAATCACAATGTATCTGTTACTGTTGCATGTTTGTAACAGATGAGGACTATGAGGGCTAATGCCGGTTGAGTCCATATTGTTTCTAAGTGTCATCTTTTTTCAAACACTACTTACAAGTTTGCATTGACTAGTGAAGAGCAACAATGCTTTTGTAGTTCACTGTGCACCAGTGCTAATACAGCACTTAGTAGCAGGACCAGTTAATGGAAGAGTGTCCAACAAAATCCCACATTTTAAGTCAACCTAGAGAGCTCTCTAATGTCATTCTCCTAGAGCAGTGCATCTCAAACTACCCATGGTAAAGGACTCGTTTTTTTAGATTTCCAAACTCCTGCTAACTGATATGTGACCTTACTTCATAGGACTAATATGCAACACAACTCCCGCCAGATGGGATTTGCCATTTGAGTTTGTCACTCAAACTGACCCATAGCTTCTTCAACAAGAGACCACTAATCATAAGCTTGGATATGGTGGCAATATTGAATTGCTACTGAGGTTTATTTTTCTTCCTTTTTTTTTTTTTTTTAAAGATAGGGTCTCACTCTGTTGCCCAGCCTGAGTACAGTGGTGTGATCGTGATTCACTACAGCCTCAAACTCCTGGGCATGTGCAATCCTCTTGCCTTAGCCTTCCGAGTAGCTGGGACCACAGACATGCACCACTACACCCAATACTTTATTTTATTTTTTGGAGATAGGGTCTCGCTCTGTCACCCAGGCTGGAGTGCAGTGGCATGATCACAGCTCACTGCAGCCTCAAACTCCTGGGCTCAAGTGATCTTCCCACCTCAGCCTCCCAAAGTGTTGGGATTTCCAGTGGTGTGCATAGTACAGTGGTGTGCACACCATTTCCAGTGCACATCACTGCACCCAGCTAATTTTTAAAATTTTGTGTGGAGATGGGGTCTCGCCATTTTGCCCAGGCTGGTCTTCTTGAACTTCTGGCTTCAAGTGATTCTCCTACCTCCGCCTCCCAAAGTGCTAGAATTACAGGCATGAGACACCACACCTGGCCTTTTAAAATTTTTTGTAGAGATTGGGGTCTCACTGTGTTACCAAGGTTCATCTCAAACTCCTGGCTTCAACTAATCGTCCCATCTTGGCCTCTCAAAGTGCTAGGATTACAGGCATGAGCCACCACACCTAGACTACTGAGGTTTTTAAGTGCTTAACTCCCAAGTTTCATTCTTTTTTGCACCCTGGTGATAGTTTGTGGAATAGCATCTGCCTCCAGACCACACTTTGAGGTAGAATGTCTTAAATAATTCTAAGAAAAGATTAACAATGGGCCCATTGTAAAAAAAAGACGAAGTATATAGAATCCACCTTTGGAACTACCAAGTAATTAAAATGTATCTTTCCCCTAAAAAAGTTTCAAAAATTCAATATGAGAATTTGGTAATTCAATATTCAAAAACAGAAAGATTCTGCTTTCTGTAGTATTCCCTTGCAGTCAACAGTGTCTTACATAATTACAAAGGGAGATGAATTATCTGTCACTCTGTCCCTGTACACTCTATACAGCTACTGAATGGTTGTGTTTTGGTTGAGCAGGGGTTTACAATAGTGTTTTCCTATAAATGAGCAATGTGTGAAGAGGTAAAATACTGGGAGAAACTGGAGTTTGTGTAGGCAAGGCAACTCTTGCTCCTTGGATCAGCAGAAGCTGCAAGCTAGCCATGGCAACATTCGGTGCTAGTGTAAGCAGAAGGAGAGGAGTCAGTGGAAGTGGCGATTTCTCATACTACAGTAAGTACCCGGCCCAGAGTGCTGCATCTACCCACCTCTTTTAACAAGTCCCTGTTAGCGTGCTATTCTGATAAAGGCTTCTACAGGTGAACTCTCAAGGGAAATTACTGTTTACTATGTGCCACACCCTGTTTCATGTATTTTGCATGTATTGACTCCTCATCCAATCCTGTGACATAGGCACTAATATTTTTCCATTGTATAGATGAAGAAACTGAGGCACAGAGAAGTCAAATAACTTGCCTGAGGTCACCTATGACCTCATTCAGTGTAAAATCATTGGTATGCAAGAAATAGCTGAAGGCAGAACTTTCTGAAATTCTGCATCTAAAAATGAGCTTGTGTCCTGGGTACAGACCGGGAGGAAGTTATCTTTTTCCCAGCTCCAACCAAAGGTAGCCAGCAAGCCACTGATCCCCACTAGCACCTAGGGAGAGGCAGCATGGGGAAATAGTTATATGCGCAGGATGTAGGTTCAGCTAACCTGCCCCTGCTTACATATCAGCAGGGGTGAGTGTGGCAAGTTCCTGTACCTCACTATACTTTATTTCTCTCAACTGAAAATGAAGTTCATAAAAATACCAATCTCAAGGGTTATGAGATTAGTTCCTGGAATATAGGGAGCGCTCAATAAAACTTAGCCATTATCTTTTCCCTCTTTTCTATTCTTTATTACCATTCACTCGCATTTCGAGCTAAATATACTACAGTACATCATATTGCTATTTAACTTCCTGGATGTGTGTCTTGTCTCAAAAACAAGACTGTGCTCTTGAGAAGGTCAAGAAGCAAGTTCTACACGTCCTGTTAGTCACAATTTTTGGCACAATGCCTTGCCCACTGCAGGTACTCAAAGAACACTGTGCTTTGATGAGTTATTCCAAAAGCTATCCTCATGGTGGAGGGTGTGGTCCAGGCATGCTGGGTGGACAGAGATTTACACGCCTTCTCCATTGCTTCCAACAGAGTTACTTTTTCCCTAGCAAGGGAGCAATTGAGAATGGATTATTTCTTCATACACTCTGATATATTTTCACTGTAGTTTACCGAATATTTAAAGTAGGATGGGAGTTAGGTCATGTGGTAGGTTATGATTGTATTACACCTCTACATCAAGAGAAAACAATGCTAAGCCAATTGTATTCTAGGGTCTCAGGTGGACAGAAAGTCAATTGCAATCTAGTCACACCTTGCTCCATCTATCTGTCCTGCTATGCTGACAGCACATACGGCTGTGGAAAGGGCACTGCAATGGAAACCTGATTTGTGTCCCAGCTGTTTGTATCTTTTTGATCCTGGACAACTGTTTATTCTTTCTGGGCCCAGGTTTCCGTATGTATAAAATGAGGAATTTAGATGAAAGTGTCTATCTCCAAGGTTTTCTAGCAAGGCTGCCTCACTGTGGAGTGGATGCTGGGATGCACCCTATCACTTCAGATATGACTCATTCCCCAGCTGCTGGAAGTAATGCCAACAGTCATCCCATAACCGGAAGGCTTTGGCTGAAGACGGCTGACTCGTCCAAGGTCACACCACTTCCTGGGAAGCCTCTCCTGTACTCACTGGCTGGCAGAAGTAGCACAGACATATAAAAGCCAGGCCTCTGGGAGGCCAAGGTGGGCGGATCACGAGGTCAGGAGATGGAGACCATCCTGGCTAACATGGTGAAACTCCGTCTCTACTAAAAATACAAAAACAAAAATTAGCCGGGAGTGGTGGCAGGCACCTGTAGTCCCATCTACTCTGGAGGCTGAGGCAGGAGAATGGCGTGAACCCGGGAGGCGGAGCTTGCAGTGAGCCAAGGTCATGCCATTGCACTCCAGCCTGGGCGGCAGAGCGAGATTCCGTCTCAAAATTAAAAAAAGCCAGGCCTCCTTGCCCCAACTCTGGACTCCTTTGATGGCTACCCTGGAACTCCCCAGAGGGTAACTTCCACTGTGACTGTATTGCAGCTCCACTTATCCTTCTGTCCAATTCCATGCCTTCCTGTCCCTTCCATAGGCATTGATCCCAAGAGTACTTCCTAATAAACCTCCTGCACACTTAACCTCTGGGTAAGATCTGCTTCAGGAAATCTAACCTGCAACAGCCTGGAAATCACTCCCTCCATTAGAGTGTCTGGAGAAATGTATCCTGTCAAATGGCCCTCTAGTTCTCTATATAAATAGAGGTAATACACCTTGGCTTACCTACCATAGAGTTGCTGTGATGATGAGCTCAGAAGGTCAAAGCACTCTGTCATCTGTGAAGTGCTAGACAAATGTTCATTATTATTACTAATAACACCAGCACACTGGCTATAGGTAAACTGGTTTGTGCTGCCACAGAAAGGTCTTCGTTGTCTTGGTTCTAGTCCTGCTCCTGTGTCCGATACGGCTTTGATCATGTTATCTCAAACAATATACACAGTCAAGTGTATATATTAGCTCTGGGCCATATTTAGCCAACCTCTTTTTCAGTTCCCTCTCATGCACATCCCACATTCTGCCCAAACAGTCCCCTTGCTACTCAGACCTGCCCTGCACTTTATCACAGCAAAGCTGGTACTCACACCACCACTTCCTCTTTAATGCCACTGGCTTTGCCTGTTGAAATTCTGTCTACTATTTAAGTCTCATTGCAACGACTACATGTTAGAAAGTATCTCCTTCTAGCTATGGTCCAACAACTCTCCTTCTTTCCAGAGCACACTTTCTAGAAGCAATCCCCACTGAGGGTTTTCTCTGCCTACCTCCTAGGGGTCCCTCAAACTACCAGTCTGTTCTGATCCACTGGTCTTACTTAGGTCACCTCTCACTTGCCAGATCAAGTCAATGGCAAAATATCTTACTTGACCTCACTGCAGCAGTTAAGACTGTTGACTATTCTTTGCTCTATAGAACTCTCAGCCCTTAACTTGTGAGATTCCACTGTTTCTTTCTCTCCTGGTTCTTCTCATACTTCTGGCTGTGCCTTCTCAGCCTCCTTCTATTTTCACTCTTACAAACCAAACCGCAAGAGTCCACACACAACCCTTTGCTGCTCTCTCACTATTTGCCACTCCCATGTATAGAGCTTTAAAATCAGCCTCTATGCTGACAATTCCTGTTCGGACTTGATTACGACCTTTCCTGAATTCCAAAATCAGGCTACCTGCTGCTTTCTGCACATATTTATTTACCTATAAATCACACAGCTACAAACATATTCTAAACTGAACTCACCTTCCTTCTCACCCACTCCCAAAAGAGATGAATGACCTTCAAAGAACACCCATGTCCATTAAGTTTGGGCATTGTCCCCAAATATGCCATGCTCATTTCCACTTCTTCACTAGCTCCCCTCCTTTCTACTTGCCTGAGACTCAGTATTCCTCCCTTCCCGCCACAGCTCAAGTGCTAGCTCCTTCACAAAGCTCTCCTAGCCTCTTTGCCCCAGACTACCTGTTTTCTACTTTTGTTGTCTCAGGTGCATTGTAAACAGGTTAAGAGGCATAGTAACTTTGGATAATGAAGCCGGAAACTCCTTTATGTTTTAAAGAAAAGTTTCTCCATGACTAGTAAGAAGGTGCATGCATAATACAGTACTTACAGACCCTGACCAAAGGGCAAATGGCCAAGAAAGAAATCCTCTAAATGACCGCTGATCCAGCAAGACACCACTCCAGGTATTCCCCAGAGAGATTCCAAGAAGGAACAACTCAGCGCCACTAGCTTCCAGTCACTCTTGATTTCTTGAACAGTTTTTGAATGCTCATACCTCATGCTGTTTCTTCTGCCTAAAATGTCCATCTCGTTCACTCTTGCTTTCTTGGAGGTTGAGCTTCCTCATCCACTAATGCTTAGCCCAAATGTCCCTTCCTCTGTGAAGCTTTTTAACTCTCTCTGAACTTCCCATGAATTTATTTCCTCCTCTTCTTTCTGCCCAGGTAATTTGTTCCTACTCCTAGTATAGCACTTACCAAATCACAGCATAGTTTTACATTTGGGCCCCTGAAAGTCTCCCTGGTAACTGAGGGCAGGGTGGACATCATGCTCATCTTTAGGCTATCAGTCTAATTCCAAACAGTGTGAAGGCTATGTGCCTATCGGTGCTTTACAAAAACTCAATGTGGGGAGTATTATAGATTAATTCCAATTCATGGAAGAAAAAAATGGACTTAGGGAGATTAGGAAACTCATTAAATCACCATATCCCCAGCATCTGGAACAAAAATATTTGTTGAAAGACCTTGTAAGTATATCTGTTTTAGGTCACATAGCTAACAAATGGCAAAGCAGGAAATCAAACCCAGGACCCCTTGGCTCTTAAACCCCATGTTTTCATTATCCCTAGAAAGTGTCCTTCCTTTACTTCATAGCAGCATGAAAACGAGAGACAGAAGCCCCTCCTAGTAACTCTATGAAAGCACACTATTCTCATCTCTTGCCTTCTATTTGAGGTGACATAATCCCTGCTTATAAATGTTATTTCAAACATTTTCACTGCTTTCCCAATCTCTTTAAGTCACTTGAGTTTTTTTTCCCACACACATTAGAATGTGAAAGTTCAACTGGACACAGTAGCACTTTCTGATGCTAGAGGAGAAGGGTCCCTGTTGAAGGTACTTGATAAGTCATTGACCCAAAGGAAGAGAAGCAAAGCACTAACTTAGACTTTATATAAATGTACAGATATATATTTTTTCAAGGCTGAACCATCCAAATTGGAAAGGAACACAAAGTTTTGCTCTAAAACTCTCAAAGTCAAAACTCCGAATATACACTTTAAGTCTGGGCATTTCCACCCTCATGACTTAGATAATTAAAAAAAAAAAAAGCCACTTTAAATAATCTTCGCTTTATCTGTGGTTTCACTTCCAGTGGCCAACTGTGGTCCAAAAATATCACATGGAAAATTCCAGAAATAAACAATTCATGAGTTTTAGACTGTGTGCAGTTCTGTGTAATGAACTCTCACGTCATCCTGCTCCGTCCTGCTTGGGATGTGACTCACCCCTTTGTCCACCGTATTTGCACTGTAGACACTACCTGCTCGTTCATTAGTCACTTAGCAGCCACTGTGTTATCAGGCTGGCCGTCATGGTATTGTAGTGCTCATGTTCGAGTAACTCTTATTTGACTTCATAATGGCTCCAAAGCACAAGAGTAGTGATGCTGGCCATTTGGATATGCCAAAGGGAAGTGATAAAGTGCTTCTTTTAAGTGAAAAGGTGAACGTTCTTGACTTAAGGAAAGAAAAAAATCGTACACCGAGGTTGCTAAGATCTACTGTAAGAATTTCCTATCTGTGAACTTGTAAAGAATGAAAAAGAAATTCATGCTAGTTTTGCTGTCATACCCCAAACTGCAAAAGTTATAGCCATGGTACATAAGTGCTTAGTTAAGATGGAAAAGGCACTAAATTTGGGGGTGGAAAACATAAACAGAATAAGCAGAAATGTGTTCCAACTAATGGCAATCCGGTTCACTATTATCCACAGTTTCAGGTACTCACCGCAGGTCTTGGAACACATTCCCTGTGGATAAGGTGGACTACTGTATTTCTTTACCTAATAAAAATAAATCAAAATGCTAGACAAAAAAAAAATCCCTAGATGGGGGAGCATACAATTTCGCATCTATCCTAAATTAACGATTATCAAGTATTCTTCAAAGGCTCATATAAGCATGGGTTGCTTTGCAACCAAGGAGTTTCACTTTGATGCTAAGCCTAAAAATAAGACCAGGAGCTCAGAGAAGTTCAATGCCCAAGTTGCTACTCACAGATTTATATTCAAAGTTTCTAAAACTTGTTTTGTTATTTCTATTTGCCTCTGCCAAAAAGTGCTCAGATAGTTGAGACATTGTTATGGCCAGTTTCTTTGTAATGTTTCTTGAAAACAACACCTTGGTCTTACAAATCACAAGGAGTGCAAAATGTAAGGGAATGGCTCAGTGCAAAACTAGCAATAGTATGGTAAAATATTCAGAATATACTGATGAGTTCAGCCACTTTATCTCCCTATATGGGAGGCACTGGTCTACTCTTGGGTGAATGGAACAGTCTCTGGGAGCTAGTTCATCGGTATGAAGACATTTCACAGCACTTTAATAATCCAGCATTTATGCCTACAAAGGTCTATTTTCCTGGGAACTGAGGCTTAGCATTCCTACAAAGCATTAGCTACACCACCCTTGACAACTGTATTATAAACTTTGATTGCTGTAGCCAGCATATTTTTGACGGATATAAATTGGTTACAACATTACATGTAACCTCACCTATTTTTCCCACTATATCTGAGAGTAGAATTGCAACAATAATAGTTTGGATTGCTCTATTTTTTAAAAAAGAATGTTTCTATAATGTTTATCAATATTACTTTCTATGCTTAAATACAAATACAAATGGCATGTTGGAACACTTAATTGAATTCAACATCACCATCCTTAATATGTTAGAAACTAAGGTGTTTATGTTAGCTTACCTTTTGTGCATTTTCCCCATCTTCAATTGCAAAATCCAGTCTGGGCTGCCTGGGGCTGATCAGGTCTTTTAGTGTTAAACAATTTACCTCCATCTGTAATGCACAATTACACTAGAAAATGATTTTGCAATTAGGTACCTTTTCCTTAAACAAAAATATCTACATATGTGTTACTTGTTTGTCAGTATGAAATTCCCCCTTGCCTAAGCACATCCTGGGCATTTCCAGGAGTTGTAGCCACCCTCAACTTTCTAAAACACACGAACAAACTCAAACACCTAAAGTGTGCTTAGTAATACTGAAAATCTGGGAAGAAAAAAAATCTACAAAAACAGTACTTCTTTATGAAAAACTAGACGGCAAAATAAAGTTACCAAGTCGGAAGGGTGTTGGGCAAATCTGTCAGAAAGTACAGGGTCTCCCAGGTCAGTTAATTTTGGCGCAAAGAACTGAGAGGAATTCGGCTTTGAGGGGTTTTGAATCAGGGGGAAGGAAACCCGATCGCCAGACCAAACTCACTCAGCGCTGAGCGTAGCCCCTTCCCAGGCCTCCAAGCAGATCCCCCAAATAAACTCCTCCAATGAAAGCCCCAAGTTGTGGGGAAGGGCAAATTCCCTCTACTGCCGGGCTGGAGGGAGAGCTGCACCCGGCACACCCTCTGCGCACCGGGTCCCCCGGCAGAAACATCTCGAGCCCTCGCCAGCCGGGGGACGTGAGGGGTGGCAGGTTGGCAGCCGGGGCGGGAGGGGTCCCCGTATCCCAATTCCCGCCTCCCCACCAGCGCTGGGGCCACACGCTTACCGCTTACCCCTGCTTTCCGAAGGAGGCTTCCTGCCTCTGCAGGGACCTCCACCGACCCAAGCCGATGAGGGAAGGTGGTGCGGCGATCAGCAGCCGGGCGGCGGCATCGGGAAGGGAGAGCTAGGTGCGCAGATCCCCGCGCCGAGTGCCCTGGGCTGGCGGGGACCCCGCGGCGTCCCAACAGCGCCAGCGCTCAGACCCGCCGAGCGCGACTCCAGCCTGGATCGTAGTCCCCGCTAAAACACCTCCTCTGGCGCCTTGAGACCGAATTTGAGAATCCACCAATCAGCGGCGGCCGGCGGGGTGGCCCCGGCCAATCGTGCGGCGGCACGGCCCGGGCTCACCACCCCTCGGAGTCTTGGCGCTCCGAGTCGCGCGTTTTGCCCTCACCCGCCCAATTGTTGCCGCCTCGGCCCCCTCCCCCTTCCGGGTACCTGGAAACCTCGGGCCCGGGAGCCAATTCCTGCTGGGGACGCGGGCCCGGGCGGCCGCGGGAAGCCAAGGTGGGGGCGGCGCGGGGCGGCGGGAGAAGGAAGAGGTGGAGGAGGAGGAGGAGGGCTCTTTTGTTATGCATAGAAGACCCGCGCACGTCCCCAAGGCTTACCGCGCCCGGGGACCCCGGGCACAGCCAGAGGAGAGGAAAGCAGATGGGGTTTGGAAGAACGATCTACACCCTCTGGATGCTGCTGCCGCCATCCCCACCCGCCCTCAGCAACCTGTGCGGAAGCGGAGTTGTCCAGACTTGCCGGGGCAAACTTCCTAACACCGCACGCTGGTGTGACACATGAACCATGGTTACCGCTCTGCTGTGAGCAGATGGCACGCCAGTTAGCCCTGGAGACTAGACTGGAAGCCAAACCAGAAATTTGTGTGTGTGTGTGTGTGTGTGTGTGTGGCAAATCCGGAAATGTTTTTTGGTGTTCCCTTTTCGGCACATTGCAAATAATTAGGAGGGAAAAAGCTTTATGTAAAAAAGTAATTCTTTGCAATAGGGACTAGCATTCTGGGCGACAGTCTAGAAAATTTCCTCAACACCACTGATTTGTATTAACTGTTTCACTTCTTTCATCCTACAGTTTCTTGTTTAAAATATGAATGTTGGTAGTGATCGATTTTTTTACAAAATAGACTTTATTATTTAGAAGTTTTCAATTTACAGAAAAATTGAGATAGTACCAAGAATACCCATATATTCAGCACCCAATTTCACCCACTATTAACATTTTGTGTTAGTATAGAATATTTTTTGAAATTAATGAACTAATATTGGTAGATTCTTCTGAGCTAAAGTCATTACTTTATTCAGATTTCCTTAATTTTTTCCTAATGCCCCTTTTTTTTTTCTGTTCAGGATACCACGTTACCTTTAGTTCCCATGTCTCTGTAGGCTCCTTTTGGCTATGACAGTTTCTCATACTTTCCTCATTTTTGACACCTGCACATTTTTGAGTTGTATCGGTCAAGTATTTTGTAGGATATCTCTCAACTGAAATGTGAGACAGCCTTAAAGCATCAGACATTCTTAAATGTACAGACATTTCCCTATACCCCGTATACTTTACAGCAAAGGTATCATTTTCCTTTCTGTACCAAGGCTCCACTCTTCACCACTTACCCTCCAAATATTTTTATTTTATTTTTGGAGATGGAGTCTCGTGCTGTCACCCAGGCTGGAGTGTAGTGGCAAGATCTCGGCTCACTGAAACCTCCACCTCCTGGGTTCAAGCGATTCTCTGCCTCAGCCTCCCGAGTAGCTGGGATTACAGCTGTGCTCCACCACGCCCGGCTATTTTTTGTATTTTCAGTAGAGACGTGGTTCCACTGTGTTGGCCAGGCTGGTCTTGAACTCCTGACCTCAGGTGATCCGCCTGCCTCCACCTCCCAAAGTGCTGGGATTACAGGTGTGAGACACTGCGCACGGCCTCAAATACATATATTTTAAATGAACTCTCAGCAGAATTCAGACTGCTCAATCACGTCCTTCACTTCGTACTCTAGATTGCTGGTAAATAGAGCCTTAAAAAAAAAAAATCACTGCTAGGTCATACATTGAAAAGAGAAAAGTGTGCAAAAATTAAACAAAAGAATAGTAATAAAAATCTGACATTTTTATAGGAATAACATTTTGAACTGAAAACTCTTTTGTAGGTAGAAACCTAATGAGGCGTTTAAAGAATAAAAAATTGCAACATATTAAATTTTGCACATATATGGAAGCAGGAAGTAGATAAGGAAATACTTTTCCCAACTGTATTCATTTTCTAATGCTGTTGTAACAAATTACCACAACTGGCTTATGAGGACAGGGATTTATTCTCTCACATTTCTGGAAAGTTAAGGTGTTCCCAGGGCTACGCTCCAGGGGCTCTTATCCTTTTCTTCTTCCTGTTTCTGGTGGCTGTTAACAATCCTTGACTTGTGGCAGCCTCACTCCAATCTCTACCTCCATGGTTACGTTGCTTTCTCTTTTGTCTGTTAAGGCTCTCCCATGTGTCTCCTTTGAGGATACCAGTCACTGAAATTAGGTCCTACCTGGATAGTCCAGGATGATCTCATCTTGAGATCTTCAATTTAATTGCATCTGGGAAGATCCTCTTTCCAGAGTCATGTTCCTTCATGGGTTCTGGGGATTAGGACATGAACACACCTTTTTGGAGCCCACCAGTCAGCCTTCTAGACCAACATTCAAATTATTAAAGTTCATTCATTTCTCTGATATTTCAAAATACTAGTGATGGTTTCTTTGAGGTTAGACAGTTTCATGGTGCATAACTTTTCCTAGCATTTTCAGAGTAAAAGTACTTTTTCTATTTTGATACAAATGTAGCCACTATTCAAGTTACAAAAAAAAAAAAACTCAGTTGGATACATCACTTCAGGCACTTATAATTTCATTGATTATAGGAGTTATCTTAGATTTGGAGGAAAACTGGAAAATAAATATTTGATGGACAAATTCAGAGACATTATTCCAATACACTTATATTGATGTTTTATATTGATGTTTTTAAGTCCCAGAATGCATACATAACTTGTCAATCTCTCGGTGATTCAGTTAACACTGATGTTGCTGGGAACTAGGCTGGAGTATCAAGAAGAGTCTTGACATGTGACCTCTCCATATGGCCTGGTCCTCCTTACGGCATGGTAGCTCAAGATAGTTGGACTTCTTCCAGGGTGGCTCCTGGGATCCAAAATGAACATGCCATGTAGCAAAGTGGAAATAGTATCACCTTTTGTGATGTAGCCTGAGAAATGATAGCATCAATTCCACTACAGTTTTTGGGAGGAAGCAGTCAAAAATCCACCCATATTCAAGGGGAGAAGACATATACCTCACTCTCAATGGGAGAAGTGTCAAAGAATTTGGGGCTATATTTTTCTCTCTATATATATGTGTGTGTGTATATATATACATATATATTTATATATGTGTATATGTGTATATATTTAAATTATACTTAAGTTCTGGGATGCATGTACAGAACATGCAGGTTTGTTACATAGGTATACACATGCCCTGGTGGTTTGCTGCACCCATCAACCTGTCATCTACATTAGCTATTTCTCCTAATGCTGCCCCTCCCCTTGCCTCCCACCCCTGACTGACCCAGGGGGTGATGTTCCCCTCCCTGTGTCCATGTGCTCTCATTGTTCAACTCCCACTTATGAGTGAGAACATGCAGTGTTTGGTTTTCTGTTCCTGTATTAGTTTGCTGAGAATGACGGTTTTCAGCTTCATCCATCTCCTGGCAAAGTACATGAACTCATCCTTTTTTATGGCTCCATAGTATTTCATGGTGTATATGTGCCACATTTTCTATTATTGATGGGCATTTGGATTGGTTCCAAGTCTTTGCTATTGTAAACAATGCTGCAATAAACAAAGGTGTGCATGTGTCTTTATAGTAGAATGATTTATAATCCTTTGGGTATATACCCAGTAATGGGATTGCTGGGTCAAATGGTATTTCTGGTTCTAGATCCTTGATGAATCACCACACTGTCTTCCACAATGGTTGAACTAATTTACACTCCCACCAAGAGTGTAAAAGTTTTCCTATTTCTCCATATCCTCTCCAGCACCTGTTGTTTCCTGACTTTTTAATGATTGCCATTCTAACTGGAATGAGATGGTATCTCACTGTAGTTTTGATTTGCATTTCTCTAATGACCAGAGATGATGAGCTTTTTTTCATATGTTAGTTGGCCACATAAATGTCTTCTTTTGAGAAGTGTCTGTTCATATCCTTCACCCACTTTTTGATGGGGTTGTTTTTTTTTTTTCTTGTAAATTTGTTTAAGTTCCTTGTAGATTTTGGATATTAGTCCATTGTCAGATGGATAGATTGCAAAAATTTTCTCCCATTGTGTAGGTTGCCTGTTCACTCTGATGATAGTTTCTTTTGCTGTGCAGAAACTCTTTAGTTTAATTAGATCCTATTTGTCAATGTTGGCTTTTGTTGCCATTGCTTTTGGTATTTTAGTCTTTGTCCATGCATATGTCCTAAATGGTATTGCCTAGGTTTTCTTCTAGGGTTTTTAAGATTTTAGGTCTTATGTTTAAGTCTTTAATCCATCTTGAGTTAATTTTTGTATAAGGTATAAGAAAGGGGTCCAGTTTCAGTTTTCTGCATATGGCTAGCCAGTTTTCCTAACACCATTTATTAAATAGGGAATCCTTTCGCCATTGCTTGCTTTTGTCAGGTTTGTCAAAGATCAGATAGTTGTAGATGTTTAGCATTATTTCTCAGGCCTCTGTTCTGTTCCATTGGTCTATATATCTGTTTTGGTACCAGTACCATGCTGTTTTGGTCACTGTAACGTTGTAGTATAGTTTGAAGTCAAGTAGCGTGATACCTCCAGCTTTGTTCTTTTACTCAGGATTGTCTTGGGTTCTTTTTGGTTCCACATGAAATTTAAAGTATTTTTTTCTAATTCTGTGAAGGAAATCAATGGTAGCTTGATGGGGATAGCATTGAATCTATAAATTACTTTGGGCAGTATGGCCATTTTCACGATATTGATTCTTCCTGTCCAAGAGCAGGGAATGTTCTTCCATTTGTTTGTATCCCCTCTTATTTCTTTGAGGAGTGGTTTGTAGTTCTCCTTGAGGAGGTCCTTCACATGCCTTGTGAGTTGGATTCCTAGGTATTGTATTCTCTTTGTAGCAATTGTGAATAGGAGTTCACTCATGATTTGGCCATCTATTTGTCTGTTATTGGTGTACAGGAATGCTTGTGATTTTTG